ATATATATACTGAGCAGAACCAACCGTTTTGACACAACATGTGTTATCTCTCATTAAATACTCTGTATAATTTTAACCTCCGACTTGATTTTTATAACTCAGTCCTTTTCAGCTTGAACCTTTCCTGGTTCCTGATCTGGTTTGTTCTCACAACAGCTCCACAACCACCTCCTGCTATGATGATGATAAAAAATGTGAAAGTGGCTGTTTTTGCAACAAAGAAGCAAAAATATTTTGCGATGAGATTATTTCTACTTTTGTGTAAATTGATGCAAACTGTTTTAAGACTTATCTTAGCATGTTTCCTTTTACAGAGATGATGCTAAAATATGAGAACACTGGGACTTATTGTTATAAACCTGAGTAATTTTTGGGTTAAACCTCATATTGTCATTTTAATGACACTGTGTCCATCATTTTACAGTCGCCTCAGTCTGAATAGAGGAGCTGTTAATTAATAAGAGCCTGAATAGAAATTCATTTTCACAGATGGGCCTGTATTCATCTGGAAAATGCTGATAATCCGCTTTATATTTCTTTGTTTTATTGTTAAAATGTAAATTAAAGTGACGTTATTTAAATGTGTCACATGAATTGTTTGAGTTTTACATTTTTGCTTAGAATAAAAGAATAACAAAAACCCGTCATTGTGCCGTCTCAGGTTGTGTACAAGAACAACGACATCCGCCTTGAGTTGTCGAGAATGGCTCGAATTCTGGACACGAAGATGAAGATCCAAGGCGAGGTGGCGTACAAATGTGAGAATGTGGCTACGCTGGACCCCATTTCCTTTGAGACCCCCGAGGCCTACATCAGTCTCCCCAAGTGGAACACCAAGCGGATGGGATCCATCTCTTTTGATTTCCGGACGACCGAGCCCAATGGTCTCATCCTCTTCACTCACGGCAAACGGCAGGAGCGTAAAGATGCTGCACGGAGCCAGAAAAACACCAAGGTCAGCTCAGAACATTTCACCCCTGCATCAAATGARGTCAGCAAGCAAAAAGGAACAAGGAGTTCCCGTAGATCAATGTTTCATGGTTTTGAATCGAAATATGAAAGATATTTACAGATGACTCTGAAAACACGTTTATGTCTGTTTTAGATTCAAAACAGAGGCTTTTGTCTTGGGCAGGTGGACTTCTTTGCGGTGGAGCTCCTGGATGGCAGCCTGTACCTCCTGCTGGATATGGGCTCGGGGACGATAAAGGTGAAAGCCACACAGACCAAAGTGAACGATGGGGCCTGGTACCATGTGGATATCCAGAGAGATGGACGCTCAGGTCAGTAACACTAGTCATTGTTTTTCATTTATTTTTACTTGGATAAATAAAGTTGTAAAACTGATTCGTTGAACATAGAGATGTGACGTTCACGAACGATCTGAATCTTTTGAACGGCTCTTTACAACGAATGATAGGAGCCGAATCGCGGGCAGTAACGAGCCATTTGTAGTTTTATTTCCTTTATTCCTCATATAAACTTTATTTGTTTCATACTTTAATTGCTCCCGCTTTGCTTTTTCACAGAAAACAGGTGGAGTTGTGGAGTACAGAAGCTCACGGTGAAAGGGGGAGGGGGGTTCCGCTTGACAAACACATGGTTCCACCCACGCGATGGGATTACATCATTACGTACGGCCACATGATGCATTTCCCTACGTGATGACGTAATATGTTCAAAATCGAACAGCTCTTTTGAACGGCTCTATGAAACAAAGGGCTACCCAAGATCTGGATCCCTTCAAAGAGCCATTTATCCCATTTCTAGTTGAACAGATTCCTGTGGAATCTCTGATGCTACTTTCATCACAAGTTATTTCCATCTCCATCTTCTGCCGCTTATCCGTAGTCAGGTTGCGGAGACAAACAGGTCCAGGAGAGAAACCCAGACCTCCCTCTCCTCAGCAACACTTTCTAGTTCATCATGAGGGACGCTGAGGCGTTTCAAGGTCAGAGAGGATACATAATCCCTCCAGTYAGTCCTGGGTCTTCCCCCAAGGCCTCCTACCAGTGGGATGTGTGGAACACCTCTAAAGGGAGCTCCTCACCCTATATCTAAGGCTGAGCCCAGCCACCTTACGCAGGAAGGTCATTTTGGCCGCTTGTATCCAGGATCTTGCTCTTTCAATCATGATCCACGCCTCATGACCACAGATGGGGGTTGGAATGAAGACAGACTAGTTAATTCAGAGCTTTATTCTCCACGACCGACCAAAGCAACGCCCTCATTGCTGAGGACAACTATCACTCATGAACAAGACACCAAGATCCAGAGACTCCTCCACTCAGACCCGTAGGGGGCATTCCACCCTTTTCCAATTGAGAACCATAGCTTCAGACTTGGAGGAACTGACTTTCCACCCAGCCACTTCACACTCGGCTGTGAACCACCCCAGTGCACACTGAAGGTCTTGACCAGAAGACAACAACAGAACCACATCATCTGCATACAGCAGAGATGAGACCCTGTGGTTCCCAAACCAGACACACTGCTGTCCAGAACTGTGCCTTGAGATTCTGGCCACAAACACTACAAACAGGAGAGGAGGCAAGGGACAGTCCTGGAGGTCCAARCTTCACAGAGTTTAAGCTCAACTTTCCGCCAAAAATGTGAACACAGCTCCTGCTTTGGCTCTACAGGGACTGGATCGCCCTTAGTAGCAACCCAGATGCTCCACACTCCTGCAGCATCCTCGACAGAATGCATCAAGGAACGCAGTCGTAAGGCTTCTCCAGGTCCACAAAACACGTAACCCAGAGAGGCAAACTCCCACAACCCCCTTTGCAACTCCACAAGGGTAGAGATCTGATGTTCCACACCCAGMATGAAAGCCACACACTGCTCCTGTTGAATCTGAGGTTTGGCGATCGATAGGAGCCTCCCTTTCAACTCCCTGGAATAAACTTATCTGGGCTGGAGTAAGCCCCCTGTCCATAAGTTATTTATATTTTCTTTCAATCTTAGTTCAGAAATTGGAAGAAAAAGGTACCAGAAGGGACAGTTAAGACACTATTCATCTTTATATTCTTATTGGCCTCCATTTGACCTGATTCTGGTGCATGTGGCCAGTGAAGTTTGTGCAACAGCCTCATACCTTTGTATCTGTAATGCAAAGCTAGTGTTGTAGGTAATGACATAACTTCTCCCTAACAACTGTCTCTTTTTTTTCCCCCAGGTACCATCTCTGTAAACAGCAGAAGGACCCCGTTTACAGCCAGCGGCGAGAGTGAAATCCTGGACCTGGAGGGGGACATGTATTTGGGAGGGCTTCCAGTAGATCGCTCCAACCTCATCCTACCAACCGAGCTCTGGACAGCGATGCTCAACTACGGCTACGTTGGCTGCATCCGCGACCTTTTCATCGATGGCCGGAGCAAGGACATCCGTCAGATAGCAGAGGCCCAAAATGGCGCCGGCATCAAACCCTCGTGCAACAAGCAGCAGGGGAAGCAGTGCGAGAGCTACCCGTGCAAGAACCGTGGCATCTGCAAAGAAGGCTGGAATCGATTCATCTGTGACTGCACTGGCACTGGGTACTGGTCACGCACCTGTGAGAGAGGTAAATGTGTTTGTTTGGATGTGCGCACGTCTGGGCTCTTTTGTGAAAATTAGAATTGATTATATAATGGATGCTATCTCCAAGGCAGAAGCAGCAGAGTGTGAAGACTGAGGCAGTCAGGAGGAAGCTGTTATAGTGATAAAACAACTCACTGGGTGTTAGATGGACTCAGACTGTGTTTCAATAAAGGGACGTGACATCACGAGAGTCCTTAGGTGAAACCATCATGTAAAAATTAAATTATACATCCTCAGCTAATTAATTTTTGTAGTCAACACAGTTCAAGATGACCACAACACAAAACTGGCTTTAACTTGGTCAGATCTACAGATACTGAGCTGGTTTAAACTTTCCAAAAACACCCTTAGAGGCTTGAATCCTGCAGGTTTGCTGCTCCTCTCCTCATAAAACCCTCTTATTGATGCTGTAAGCAGGTGGATTACAGCGAGTTTCACCTGAGTAAAAGATGTTCAGCYATGCTACAACCTTCTGCCTCTTCATCATCTTACCGCCGACTGACTTTACTGCTGAGCTGACTGCAAACGTTGTCTTGAGAGAGATGTAAATTAATTTCTAATCCGTTTATAGCTGACATACATGATTTATTTTTCCTTCTGCAAGTCTCTCCGGTATCTTCTGCGCAGCTTTGCCAGCACCCTGCATCTCTACAAAATGTCTCCCCAGAGCCAAAGTAACATCCAAGAGCAAGGGCGCAACTTTAGGTGTACCAGGGGTCTATGCCTGTTTATTTATTTATTTATTTATTCAATCATTTACTTTTGTCAAACRATTCAGGATATTTTAGGGATTTTCTTAACTTTTTTTGTCATTACTCTGCACCTTTCCTGTTCCACATCAGTTAAGAAAAGGTTTACTTTTTACCACATTTATTCCAACAGTAACAAATATTCTACATTTTTAAGCTGTATTATACAACAAACAAAATTTCTCAGTTTTCTAAGCGTATGCATTTATCTGGTGCTCTTCAATCTGGCTAGAAAAACGAAACACGATTCAACAAAAACAGCTGGAATGTGACAAGAGCAGACTAAAACCCTGCATGTTATTCTCAGCAGTTATGTTTAAACATACATACTGTATATGACATCGCAAATTTTGAACCCAGATCAAAGTTACCTAAAGGCTAGGGGTGCAACGATACAGAAAATCTAGATTTGCTGGGGTCCGAGATTTTAGTTTCACGGTTCAATATTTTTTTGATACAAAAAAAAATTCTATGCCCTCATTAACTTGTAATTTATTGAAATTAATTACGAACATTTGTTTCAACTCAAAAGTACAGTTTTTAAATTAAATGTTGCTGAAACAGCAAGTTTCTCAGTGGATCTGTGCTCCACAATGCAGCCTAGGTGGAGTAGTCGAACACAGATCCACTGATCCTTCAACAGAGAGCATCTTCAGAAGACAAGTTGATAAAATAAATAATAAAAATCTGTATTGTACATGCTGTATATTGAACCTAAAGCACTGTACCGAGTGGTTTGATTCATACAAGTATTGTTGCACCCCTAATAAAAACAATAAGAGAGTTGCAGCTGTGTACTTAACCTGTTCATTTCTATTGTTTTAGAGCAAATGATGTAATTTTATTGGGGAGAATATTGACTGGATTAAATTATTAGGGAAGTCATAAACCCCTCATCCCCCCCTCACAAATRATGCCCATGTGCAAGAGAAAACATTCCCACTTATTGAACTCCTTCTTAAAGCTTACGTATATGGAGGAGAACAAACATCTAATAAAGGTTTTCTCTAAAAGATAAAGTCGATGTTGTCACTTTGCTCATGTTTAAAAATAACTTGCATTAAAGCTAAGATTATTGCTCGTATTTCACCAGGCTCTGTTTTTAAATCTGCATTATTGTAAACTTTAAACACATAAGTGTCAAAAGTTGAAGTTATTTAAATTACACAACCCCCCCCCCCCCAAAGTATTACATTTGTTTTTAACAGCAGGATGCATGTAACCTTATTTTTTTCTTTAGTAAATTCATGTTAGCTGCAGCAAAGCCAAATCATGATACCGCCACCACCGTGTTTACAGATAAATTTATGGGTATTTGTCCCTTTGGCACAAATAAAGCTTCTCTTCCCTTCTGACTCATTTCCTCCATGAGTCCAGTCAGAGTTTTAAAGACTGATCAGAGCTGAAAACTCATTTCCACATCCCCATCCTCACAAATTGCTTCCACTTCTTCCAGCATATCAAATGGCTGCTTTCTGCTCATTTCTCTCTATTTATAGTAGTTTTTCTTTCTTTCTTTCACTTTTCCCCCCTCATTCAGTGGACTCCTGAATAATAATACTCCTGATTCTCATTTTTACTTATGAAAAGAAAAGTCGCAGCGGGTCCATCTGATATGAGGTTTATGTTTCACCTTTGATTATTTCCCGAGAAATTGGAATAATTTAATACCGTTATTATATCAGGGAACGTCATTTGCCTTTAAAWCTCTACTGAGAAAAATGAATCGTACTTTTCTGCTGATGCTGTAAATGTGTAAAGATTATCAGGCTAAACGAGTGTGTTCTCTTGGATTTCTCATGCAGTGAGAGGCACAGGTCTTTAAAAAYTATCTAATTTAATTACAAAGATCACGTTCGAGTGTAAGAAAAAGTCTGTTTTAAGGCCCAGTTTTGCAGAGTGTCCTGGAAATATTTACTCGTGCAGGGATGGAAGTGTGTTTGCTGTGCAGGAGCCTTTATCTTGGAACCGGTCCACTTTCTCCAGTGATTGTTGTTCTCTCAGTGTTACCTGCCAYAAGTTTTTGGCTTCAGCTTCAGTCAGTTTGTCCAATGGAAGAAAAGAACCACAGCAGTGAGAGATAACAGACCACAAAAAATGAAGCCAATAATAAATCCTCTTTTAAAGATATAGTTTTAGTTAGTCTAATTAGCAAAATTTATTCAGCATAAGGAAACATTTATAGTTCCTTTTTATATTGCTCTGAATTATTACCTCCGCCAAGGAGGTAATGTTTTCGGTCGCGTATGTCTGTTTGTCATTTTGTCTGTGGACAACATTATTCAAAAACATGTTGACGGATTGTCATGAAATTTTTTACCACTTGTGGGCACTGGGCCGAGGAACACACCTTTAAATTTTGGTGATGTTCCGGATCACGATGCGGAAACAGGAATTTTTTTTTCTTTTAATCCTCTGAGATCGGCAAAGCTGTGATGCTTTCACAGGGCTTCTGTACAAAAAAAGTGAGAGCTTTCAGTGCTCATTTGAACTGGATTGGACAGCATGGACATCAAACTTTATAAAAGTAATGTTAAAACCAGATTTAATGATGAGTAATTTTGGCCATAATGTGGGCATTTTTACACATTTGGTGCGCATTTAGAGAACGTTTTGAGACCAGGAAGTGCGTGACTGCACCATGAAATCTATTTTAACCATTTCCTCAAACACACCACATTTCTGAAACAACCAATCAAAACAGTTTGGCTTGTAAACAGAG